TGTTTGGAGCACATGAGACGCTGCTGCCACTCATCTGCAATAAAATGCGCAGTTACGGTGAAATAAGATCCAGTGGCAGTCCACGCATCACGTTACGGCCGTCCTACCCATTTTCTTTAGTGATTTTATAAATAAATATAAATTTATAAATTAAAATTTAGAAAATCGTTTTTTGACATTTGCGAATCGATTCAGAATCGTTCACGTCCGCATTGCGATGCATCTAAAAATCGATTTTTTTCCCGCACCCCTAGACAAAACAATCACAAAACAATGTATCAAGCAACGCATTCATAATAAATTAAGTTTTGTGTAATAAATTAACGGGATGTAGCTTTTAGAGCCATTTAACGTGTCGGACGTCTAGTTCCTAGCACTATGATGGTTAACAATTTGCACTTCTCTGAGTTTCTCCAGAAAGGTGCATTTCACACCAAATCACCCAGAATGGTTTTGTTTACATCTGAACCATTGAATGATTAAGTAATTTTGCAAAATCGATGGAGTTCCCTATTAACCGTCATTAACCTTTCATTCAAGTTTATTTATGTTTATTCCTACAACATCCGTGGCACATACCTGATGCAGGCCATAAAGGACTTAATAATCAGCTGATGATCTGTATGAAGTGTGCTAGAGCAGGGGCTCTGACCCTTGGGGAGACCATTTTGGAGAAACATGAATAAAGGTTTAAGAGTATAACTTGTCCAATAATCTTCTCCCACCCCAATTTCATGTTGTAAATATACATTAAAACAGAAAACTAACTGTGTGTGTAAAGCTGTTCAAAATGTGGGCTAGAACTGTTCAGATGCTACTTATTACACAGAAAACAGCATGTCTTATGGCAGAGCATATGCTCCAGTCTAAAGAATATAGACCGTGGAATTGTCAATATTGGGACCCCTATTGTTTGTTTAATATTTGTTAATGCTCTTTACTTGGCAGCAAAGAATGTATTCTTGATTTTTTTGGCTGATGAGACCAATATTTTGTATAATATTTATAACAGTTTATAATTAATAGGCCAGTTTATTTTCTCTTTCACACACAATCTTTTTCCTGGTGGCTTCTTTAGCACACCACTAGACACTGGACACCACTGGACACCACTTTCAATTTTGAACTGTCTGCAACCTTATCTAAACTCTCATCAGCTTCAAAAAACAGGTTACAACTTAAATATGAAATCTAACTATGTGTTTGTGTTTTCTGTGATTGATTGTCTTTTTTTTATTTAATTCAGTTAAAAAAAAAGTACTTTGTACAACACTTTCTGTGCTTTTTTATGATGTCTCTGCACATTTTGTGTTTTTTTTTTCTTCCTTTTGTTTGTATTTATTAGACCTTCTTGTAACTGCTTACAACAGAACTGGAACCGCTGTGGTAGTGCAGACAACCACCAAAACTGTGAACATCTAGTTCTGGGGCTGATAACAAGAGCATGAGCTGCAGTCATGGAGGGTCACACAACACTTCACAATTCCTGATTCAGTTCTTCAGCTTCTTATCTAGTCCTTCATGAGCTGAAACACTGCACTGTGTAGAGCAGGATGCTCCCAGCGCTACAACACTGTCTGAATACACACGTCAAAAAAGCCCAAACATTTAACTGTGTGTTTAGTTTTGATATGTTCAACGTTGTAAAATATTATTATTCATTTGCTGCATATGCTCAAATGTTTTATGGAAACTGATTGCCTTGATTCATCTGATTTCTCATTTCTTAAATGTTGCCATGAAACAAATATAAAAATACAACCTCAAATGAACAAGAAGTAATAAACTACCATAAATCATCTGAATGAACTTTGCAGATTTCACGTTATGCCAATGATGCCACATCTCAACATCTCATCATCTGATGTGCCTCAACATATTTAGGTAATAATTACTGCTGGACTGTGTTTAACTGTAAACCACAATTTACCTGATTATTAGTCGACTTTGCTGTGATAGGCAGGTCCGTACATTCTTCTGAAGGACGTGAGATCAGCTGCCACTACTTTTTAAGCAATTTAGCATCATCTACAGGGAGTAAAAAATATTGTTACCTATTAACACATTTTAAAAATAATAGTCAATTATAGTAATTACAGTTAAATTACCTAATAATTAAACAATTACCTACAATATTTTACTACCGAGTACCTAATAAAGAGCAGTGCCACCTTTTGCTGTCAGAACATCTTCAATCCTGCTTGTAACGCTGTCATGCCCTGAAATGTGTGTGATGGAATAGGAAGAAAAGCCTCCAGTCCTCTGGGAGATGTAAGAAGAAATCTATTTTATTTAAGGCACAGAGACCACAATCTTTTTTAAAAATGCAGTGGATAAGAACAGAGTGGAAAAAATATCAATGAGAGACAAGTTCACAGCAAATTTACACAGTATAATAACCATTTAAAAGGTATTTGATATGATTATTTTCATTGTTTATTTAATATTTATTTTTTTTATCAGTCTAGGCCACTTCACTAAAGTATCCCTCTAGTGGAGCCCCTGTCCTCTTAGCCATGGTCCCAAGAACTGCTTAGGTTTCTTTTACTGGAAACAACTGATCAACATCCTATGCTATTTTCAGCTTTTATTTTTTTTTCACATTAACTGATTTAATAAAATTAATTAATGAAATAATATATTGCTCAGTAGTGTAACTTTTTTTTTTTTAATTATGTTGACTGCAAGCACATCATGTACACAAAAACTAGTGAGCTAACAGCGCCCCTATTGGAGAAACAACAGATCACATGTGTCACTTCTAAAGCAATGTCCCCTTAACTTACATGTTTAAAAAAATAAAGAAAAAATGTTTTTCTTCATTAGAGTGGAGGATCTCTAAAATTCAGCTATAGGTGCCTGTGGGAAACCATGAAGTACTGTAATCTGATAATTTTACAACTCATCTGAAGCTGGAACACTTCAAGCTGTAGGAAAATGCTGATCACTCTAGGAAACTCCAGCAGAGCAGCAAATTTATTCTACTGTAGCCTATTAGCTTATTAATAATAACAATAATACATTGTTTTAACAACGGTCAATAAGACGTTACAAGTACATATTACTTATTATTTAGTAAGCTGTTTAAAAACAAATTATTTCTCGCTACTTTTCTGCCAATTCTCTTTCTCATTTAGTAATTCACTTCCTCACACTATACTGTAAATCTCTCAGTAATAAGAAGATTAAAACAAACACCACTAACTTACCAAATTGTGATTTGGAAATGTTTTTTCTCTGTACTTTTGAGATTAAATTCTTCTAAATCACAGATTTCAGGATTACTGAAATGCTTCCATTACAAATGCTTCCATTTGTCATTTTTTCATCCCTCGATCCTCCCATAGAGTCCCATTCATTTTCTAACCCAACAAAGCCTCAATCTCTCTTTTTCCCCGACAGCCACCAAAGAACATGTACTCATTCAGGGCATTTCCCCAAGCTCCAATGCACAGTCATATGGACCTGCACTCCTCTTTGTGTCATTTTTTCATCCCTCGATCCTTTCATTGAGTCCCATTCATTTTCGCCACCACTCAAACTCCATTACTTCTTTGCCCGACAGCAACCAAATGCATGTACTCACTCAGGGCACATCCCCAAGCTCTAAACCACAGCCATACTGACCCATACTCCTCTCTCTTTTCGTTTTTTCATCCCTCGTTCCTCCCATACTGTCCCATTTATTTTCTAACCCAACAAAGCCTCAATCTGTTTTCTTCCCGACAGCCACCAAAGTACATGTGCTTACCCGGGGCAGGACCCCAAGCTCCAATCCACAGCCATACTGACCTGCACTCCTCTATATGTCGTTTTTTCATCCCTCATTCCTCCTATAGAATCCATTAATTTTCGCCCTCACCCAAGCCGTAATATTTCCTTTGTCCAACAGAAACCAAAATGCATGTACTCTTTCAGAACAGGTTCTTAAGCTCTAATCCACAGCCATATTGGCCCACGCTCCTCTGTGTCGTTTTTTCATCCCTCGTTCCTCCTATAGACTTTCATAGTATGCGCTGCGCAACCATTACGCGTTTCCTTCAGGAAATTGACTTTTCTAGTTTTAAAGTCCTTTAAAAAAAGTAGCATTTTCGTTATTATGTCCAACCTCTAGAGTTTAAATGGGCGCCCATTTTTATATAAATAAATATCTAAATGTATTAATCTGTGGTTGAGGGCTGTTCCACTCAAAGGAGGATGCGCTTACAAATGCATCAGATTTGCATGAAATATGACCTTGAACATGACATGACAAGATAAAAACAGCCACAGGCAGTGGAATCTGCTTTTGAGCTAAAAACAGTTTAATACAGTTTACAAACACACACCTTTCTCTGAGAGGAGGCAAGAACAGCACTACTTCAGGTTTGTTGTTGGTTGATTTTAACTTAAATTTGAACTAGAGTTTACACGTGCTACTGTCACCATACCAATGCACCTTATTTTTTTATTTTTATCGAAAAATAAAACACTATGGATGTGCATTTGATGTAAATGAATAATGTAATGAACATTTTCTTTATGCACTACAAAAAATGGTATCAAGTGAAATGATTTTGAACCGCTAATATCTCTAACATTTCTAATGTTTAATGTTGAGGTTGTTGTAAGCTTGTTATAAGATTATTTAACTGTTTTTCAGACATTTTTACTTGTTTTACATCATTTTATGTAAAGTAAGTAAAATTCTCTCTATATTGGCAGATAATTTGTGTTTTAAAAATGATGCTTGAATAAAGCAAATTTATAGCCAACATGGTGAGACTATTTTACTTGATAAATGTACTTAAAATAAGTAAAAATGTCTTGTAATAAGTTATAAAAATAAACAATTTCAACATGAGAAATGTACAAAATATCAACTAATTTTAAGATCATTTCACTTGTCAAGATACCAGAGTGGACTGTTTGCTTGGAATATCTGAACATACACTTTTCCTGTAGGTCATTCTTTCCCCAAGAAGATGAATACATCTCTCACAAACTCAAGCGTTTATGCTATGGACAGCAGGCTAATGAATGCTGCGATTGGCTGTATCGTAACGATCCAGATCATTAACTTCTCCGTAGGCCTGCCTCTGAACTGCTACATCATTAAACTGCTTCTCTCCAAAGGTGGAGGAGTGGACGTTTCTGTGGTTTTTGTGCTGAACCACACTGCAGCCGAAATCATCTACTGTCTTGTTGCACCTTTGTACATAGTGTGCATTATTAGCTTAGAACTCTGTGTTGGCCCATTGCTGGGTCTCTGGATTGGTACCTGCATGCCTGCCAGATACCTGTTCCAGTGCTGGGTGTGCGTGGAGCGTTACATGGCGGTGATCCACCCTGTGACCTTCCTGAGGTTCAAACCAATCAGGTATAGGGTGGCGTGCGCCGCCGTGGCCTGGATATGGGCTCTGGCAATGGGCACTACCTCAATGTGCACATTTCCACTTCTGCCCTACACTGCCTTCGGAGTTCTATATCTCATCATTTTTCTTCTCGACTCCTTTTGTTGTGTCATGATTCTGAAAGGTCTGCTGCGTCCTGGGCCAGGAGACAGGGAGAGGGAGGACAGGGAGATGAATGCTGCCAAAAAGAAGGCCTTTAAAGTAGTCTGCATGAACCTTCTGACATTTTTGATTCAGACCATCCCAATCGTTTTTTCCTTTGGCCTTCAAGACATTTTGCTCCCAGATCACTTTCACTTGGCAGTAGCCATCGGCATGACGATCAATATCGCTGCAGGGTTTGTCCATCCGATCTTTGTTCTCCACAAAGCTGGTAAACTCTCATTTATTAAGTGCTAAACTACAGAGACAGTCTGGGAATTTGTGATAATTGGAAGTGAGGTCATTGTTGTTGCAATTCAAACAGTCTTAAAATGATCGTTCTTCAAGGGTTCTTTACTAAAGGCAATGGTTCTATTTAAACCCCAAGTTTCTCTGTAGAACCATTTCATTTAAGCATGAAAGGGTTCTATATAGAATCATTCTCATGACTGAAGGACCCTTGAAGAACCATTCTTTTTAAGAGTCTATGACCGCTCAAGCTGATAGCGTAAGCAGTCTTAGCTTTAACTTAAACCTGTTATTGTGATAGGCAATAGATTAACATGTTGACTAGTAAAAGTTCCTTGGCTTTTTTGTTTGCTTTTGGAAATGTGTCTGCATACATTTAATTGCATGAGTAGGAAATTCTCCATTGGAATTTCACACAGAGCTACGTTAAATAAGTTTTTGGAGTTATCATTAGTTAAAGGAGTTAGCACTTGTAGTTGTACAGTTTTACTGTTTTTTTATTTTAAAGACTACTGGTTCACCTTTTTCTGTAATGGAGTGATGAATGAATGAATAAAAAAAATAATAAAATGCTACTGTGAGTTTGGCTGGAAATTGTATGTATCAAATGTATATGATACAATTCAGCTGCCATTGTTTAATAGTAGGAATGTGCATTCAGACTAATTTTGTTTTAATTTAAGTTAGTGTTCGTGAATGGACATCCGATTAGTCAAGGAGAAGGAAAACAAAAAAAAAAAACAATGCCAAAACAAGAAAGAAAAAAGAGATTTTAGCTGTAATGAAAGTAGAGCTGCTTACCTTCTTCGGTGACAAAATTGGAATTGCACAATAATTTAGCATCGTACAGAGAAATCCATTTCAAAACATGTTTTATTATTCAAAAAAGGGAAATCAGTAGGTAAGTCACAACTAAAGCTAATAGGTAAAACAGTAGTTATAATGGAGACCGTCTATAGGACATGACTCAGTTTATATCACAATACCTACATTTAGAGCCAGTTGTTCATTTTAAATTATATTTATTTTGTATGTGGATAAAAGGCCACACTGATAGGCTAGTTTTTGTTATTATGTAATCAAGTTAATATTAATATGGTGTCCATCTCAGTAATATTGCATTCTAAACTAAAAAATCCATGTCATCTAGAAATTCTAAAACCTTACCTAAATATATTAGGCTGAATGAGATTTTTGCAAGCATTCACTAAAGCTTGTCCTCTTGACATTTGCTATGAAACAAGATGCTTGTGGGTGGTACATAGTGAGGTCAATTGTGACATTTAGTACAAATACACTATAGAATTGTTTGTAACCATCTGAGTCACCCAAAATAGTTCAGTGACCACCCTTACATTGTTCGGAAGCATAATGCCATTGGTCATTTTCTACTGAAGCCTTATGATGCTCCCATTGGATCAAACATACAACTGAGCTGCCTACTGCCCAAGGAAAATACAGTACATTCATATTTAAAGATTGCAGAAAATACATTTAAGTAGACAGTAAAAAGGTATCAATTTCCTTAAATTGCAAAAATGTCTAGGTTTATTAGTTTGTAATTAAAGGCTGTCCAAGAAATATGCTACATGTCCAAAAGTTTGTAGACACCAGCGTTTCTTCTGAAATTAAGGGTATTAATAGTGAGTTTGGCTTTATACCCCTCTAGGCCACAGTTTGGGCATGGTGACCTTAGGCTCATGTGTAGCTGCTCCAGAACATCCCATTCTACTGGACCATGCTTTTTCTATGGAGATTATACCAGCTGTGGGTGCAATTGAGCACCTGGTTCAACAATGAGTGCACCTTGAATTAGCTGAATTCATTAATTCCAAGCTGTACAAAGAAGATTTGCACGTGATCACATGTGGAACTCAACTAATCCCATGACAGAGAAAGGATAAGAAGGTGGGGCTGGGTTTAGGTTGGTAAAGCAAGGGCTTAAACAGTATATATTTGCATGGGGAGCCAATCAATTTGGATTAAGTAAATCTGAAGCACTTCAAATGCCTCTGACTGTGTGCTGCCTCACATGAATTGCGTAAACTGGAGCATTACAGTGACTGGTCAAAAGATGCAGAATAAACCTGATCTTGAACTTCTGCTCTGACATTCAAAATGTAACCTGATATTAATGGATATCATTTTTCTGTGAGAAATGATCTGGCTTGCCCATTTAAATATCGTTGACATTGCAAGCATTTGCATAAAATATATGCATTTGTTTTGACAGTGGCAACTTAAAAAATCGTCTTTTTGTCCTCTACCTTTTCTGTTTGCATGGTTGCTGTCCACAGTGTATTAAACATTCATTCAGCTTTTCAAACGTGGAAGGGACGGCATTAAAAACTCAAGTATCAGAGCTCCCAAGTGGTGTAACCATCTAATTGTTGGCTTCATCATTCAATGCAAGTTTGATACCTGGCAATGCCACAGCTATCCACAAGCAAGAATTCAAGACAGCATATTTGTCAATGTTCTCTCTGGGTAGACTTAGCAGATAGCATTCTCCTTTAAGTACGCTGAGTTGTCCAATGATGTTTTAAGCTAGCAATATACAAACATTGTTTCTCAAAAGACCAAATTCAGTGATCAGTCAGGGAGGGTCACACAATCCTTTGTTTTGCCCTATTCAAAATTTTGAAAACAACTAGTAATGATTCATACTGCATTGACGTTATGATGAAAAAAGATATTTCGGTGCTGTCGGAACAAAACCTTTTATCTCCAAAAAAGTGAAAAAAAAAAAAATGTAAAAACAAAAAAAGAGTCATTTCGGACCATTTACATTGTATTTCCAAAACTATTCACTCATCCATCCAATTCATTGAATTCAGGTGTTCCAATCACTTCCACGGCCACAGGTGTATAAAACCAAGCACCTAGGCATGCAGACTGCTTCTACAAACATTTGTGAAAGAATGGGTCGCTCTCAGGAGCTCAGTGAATTCCAGCGTGGTACCGTGATAGGATGCCACCTGTGCATCCAGTCGTGAAATTTCCTCGCTACTAAATATTCCACAGTCAACTGTCAGTGGTTTCACATAAAGTGGAAGCAATTGGGAATTACAGCAGCTCAGCCACGAAGTGGTAGGCCATGTAAAATGGCAGAGCGGGGTCAGCGGATGCTGAGGCGCATAGCGTGCAGAGGTCGCCAACTTTCTGCAGAGTCAATCACTACAGACCTCCAAACTTCATGTGGTCTTCAGATTAGCTCAAGAACAGCGTAGAGAGCTTCATGGAATGGGTTTCCAAGGCCGAGCAGCTGCATCCAAGCCTTACATCACCAAGCGCAATGCAAAGCGTCGAATGCAGTGGTGTAAAGCTCCGCCACTGGACTCTAGAGCAGTGGAGACGTGTTCTCTGGATTGATGAATCACGCTTCTCCATCTGTCAATCCAATGGATGACTCTGGGTTTGGCAGTTGCCAGGAGAACAGCAACTGTCTGACTCCATTGTGTCAAGTGTAAAGTTTGGTGGAGGGGGATTATGGTGTGGGGTTGTTTTTCAGGAGTTGGGCTCGGCCTCTTAGTTCCAGTGAAAGGAACTCTTAATGCTTCAGCAGACCAAGAGATTTTGGACAATTTCATGCTCCCAACTTTGTGGGAACAGTTTGGGGATGGCCCCTTCCTGTTCCAACATGACACAAAGCAAGGTCCATAAAGACATGAGTGAGGGAGTTTAGTGTAGAAGAACTTGACTAGACAGAGTCCTGACCTCAACCCGATTCACACATTCATCATGAAATTTTGGTATAACATAAAGGGCAACTGCCTTCTTCAAGTTATGTCAAAAAAATAGAAAACAACAGAAATGGAGATATAAGGTTTTGTCCAGACAGCAACAATACATATATATAAATTATATATATATATATATATATATATATATATATATATATATATATATATATATAATTAAATATTTACTAAGCAAGACTTTAATTACAGACTGATTTCACAGGAAATTACCTGTAAATGTAAATGCAGCATAGCATGCCTAACATCCTCTAACCAGATGTCATCTGGTCTAACCAGATGTCATTGGTGGTCTTATTTTGGTCTCTTTACATTGATGGGTGGGGTAGAAGGGGGCCGGAGTGCACCTGTATGGTATGATAAAATGGCTAATAAATGCAGATATAAGGTAGGTCTATCTAATGAGTTTGTTGCATAATTCTTGAGCCCTGCCTGGTAGAGCGTCTATCTTATTTTACCACAGGTCTGAGCATGTGAGTGTGCCTTTTAACCACAAACTTGGGTTATCTGAATGAAAGCCTCGGCGACAGGATAGGTTACACTGCAATCAAATTTGCATGATTCTCTACATGTGATTTGCAAGGAAAGCTAGATATAAGCAGAGTGGAACCCATACTGAGAGAGCATACTGCTGATTTTTGAGGAGAGAGTTTTTCTCTCTGCATTGTCACATCCTTCTTTCAAAGTTCACAGAAAAAAAAACCCTGAAAACAGTTGTTAATCCACCTGTGCAAAGAGTAAAATCTCCAGTGTTGACCCTCTAAAGTAAAAAGTAAATTTACTATAGATTTGAAGTTGGTTGACAGATTTAGCCATATGTTTGGTGAATCTTTAAAGGTTCCACAAGATTCACTGTAAATGTGCTAGCCTGCTATAAAGGATACTATCATCAAATTATCAGTTATGTCAAGATGTTTTACATTACAAAATAAAAATGGACATAAAAATGCAAGATATGGTGTCTTGGCAGGTAAAATCATCCTAAATCTAGACAAAACATCTAATATTCCTAGTTTTGAGATCATAAGGTTATTATCAGATTATTTAACTTATTTCTAGACATCTTGTGTGCTTTCTATTGGTGATTTTATTCAATGAAATTCTCACTATATCGGCAGATACATTTGATTGTTTTAAAAATTATGCTTGAATAAAGATAAATTAGTTACCAATGAAGTGAAAATTTCATCAATTAATTATAACACTTTCACACAATGTCAAGGGCAGTTGGTGTTTACATATTATGTAAAA